GTGGCAACAGGCGCCTCGAGTGTCTGCCCCCAATTGGAACTACTGGTGGCTCCTCTGTTGCAGCTCGAGCAGGTGCTCTGGCTGCACCATGTGCCCCTCCTAGGCCTCTTCCTTGGCCCCGACCTCTCATAGCTCTAGCAGGGGGCCCGGGTGTCTAATCGTCGAATCTAGTGGTGCGTGTCATCACCAGACGTCTCCGTACAAATCCGTAAGACTCTACTAAATCTGCTTATGACTCGTAACACCTATGAATCTAGAGCTCTGATACCAACGTGTCATGACCCCAATCTCCCATTATAGGATGTCGTGATGGTATCTAGTCTCTAAGTCTAGGTAAGCCTATCATACATGAAGAGATAACAAAAATAATAATAAAACTTCAAATTTAAACCAACCGACTATCATAAAAGAACTCCACAATACAGCGGACAATAACACCAAAAATTTGGTGATACTGAGTCATAAGATTTACACTAGTATACTGAAACATCCCTAATACATCACAATCTAAATATGAGTATGCAATAGAAAATCAAGGATAGAGGGTGACTCCGAGGCCTGCAAACGCCTGCAGGTATACCTTGAAGTCTCTAATCCGAAAGCTCAACTCACAGGTGCCTAGCCTAGTAAGAGGTACGTGGATCTGCACAAAAGGATGTGCAGATGCGCAGTATGAGCACACCACAACGATACTCAGTAAGTATCAAGCCTAACCTCGGTAGAGTAGTGAGGAGGTTAGGTAAAGACATTTACTAGGATAATAAAAGAAGCTGAACATGTATGGTACAGTATAATAATGGAAACAAGGAAATGATACAATGAAGAAATACAACAAGATAAGCTATACTGAATTTAAGAAAATAAAGGCATTAAGGGAGGAACACATAATAAGAATACCAAGGAAATAGTGCATACAAAACACAAGTGATGTAAATGAAAGGTAACAACAAGAATCACGTCCGAGGTATCGCCTCGTATTTCATTTCACAATCAGCATCATAATCCTTCCTTATATCACCACGGGAGCTTTACATTTAATTTTGAAAATTATTTTTCCCGAAATATCTACCCACATTTTAGCCCACCTTATCACACTACGTGGCTTCAAGTAGTTCCCCTACTAGCAACACACATATCGAGCCCACCTTATATCACCGCATGCGTATCAACCCTTATCCTTATACCACCGCATGTGTATCAATATCACAACGTATCACAACTCGCACCTCATGTGCCCAAATACCACAACTTGCCAAAAGAATCATCAGTAACAATGTTTCCACAATAAATAGCACATGGCTCAACCACAATGTATACAAGAGTCTCAACAATAGAAACTAGAAGTGAATAGCTCAACAAGAATAGTATTTCAGCAATTTACATCTTTGCCTCAATATGATCACGGATTTTACAACTTCAATACCAAAACTCAACAATAAGATATTCCCAAAAATAACAACTTCAAGTAAGGTAACTCAACAGTCAAATAATTAACAAGGCAATAAGAAAATAGTAACTTCAACTAAGTATGTAAGGGAAAATAATAAGTAAGAGATGGGACAAGTATTATCAATGTAAAATAAAGCATATAAGGATGGATTAACGATGATGGATATAACATGTTATGACAATTTGATTAAAGGCATGAAAATAATCCACATAGCTTAATCCAGTAAATTACCACATATAGTCCGTGTACCCACTCGTCACTTTGTATACATGATTTTTACATACCACAAATGACACAAAACAACGCCAATCTTAAGGGGTAATTCGCCCAAACAAAGTTAGACAAGATACTTACCTCAAACAAGCTAACTCAATCCACTAGTAAGCCTTTTCAACAAATACCGACTTCTAACGGCTCGAATCTAGCAAAAATAACTTTATACCATAAACACAAATCATAGGAAACTATTCCGGATAATAAAGTTGCAATCTTTAAAGAAAGAAATCAAAATGTCAACTCAACAGGTCAACCCCGGGCTTGCGTCTCGGAACCCGACCAAACTTATAAAATCTGAACAACCATTCAATAATGAGTCTAACCATACTAAAAATATTCCATTCCAACCTCAAATGGACCTTCAAATCATCAAAATATAGCTTGTGAAGTTTTTCACAAATTTTCCCAATTTTCCAACTTAAAACACTAATTAAATGATAAAAATAATGATGGATTCATGTATAATAATCAAATCCGAGTTAAAATTACTTACCCTACTCAACTCCTTGAAAATCTCTCTCAAAATCGGCAAAAATTGAGGTCTCTAACTCAAAAGATGAAAAATGGGAACAAACCCTCAATCTGCCCCTTTTCTACCTAGTGATTCTGCTTCTGCGGACCAATAGCTGCATCTGCGACTCCGCACCTGCGGAAAATACATCGCAAGTGTGGCTATCACGTAAGCCCAACACCTTCTGCTTCTGCGGACAAAAACCCGCTTATGTGGTCCCTCCAACCGCACCAGTGTGTCTGCACCTGCGGCCAGGTCCATCGTAGGTGCGATGACACCGGAACTTCAGCAACTTTCAGCAATCAACTAAGTTCACAAATGAACCCGATTTCAATCTGATTCACACCCGGGGCCCCCGGGAACCCATCCAAACATACCATTAAGTTCCAAAACACATAACAACCTATTTGAGGCCTAAAATCACATCAAACAACATTGATTCTACGAATCGCAACCCAATTCAAACCTATTGAAATCATGAACATCCAACGTCCAAAACTAATGTCGATTCATACCAAACAAACTCCGATTGACCTCAAATTTTGGATACAAGTCATAAATGACACAACATACCTACTTTCAGAATTGGAATCCGACCCCGATATCAATAAAGTCAATTTTCGATCAAACTTCTCAATCTTCCAAACATTCAACTTTATAACTTTCGCTAATTCAAGCCAAAACGACATGTGGACCTCCAAATCAAAATTCGAATACGCTCCTAAGTCCAAAATTATCATACGAAGCTACCGAAACCATCAAAATCTATTTCGGAGCCGTCTATATAAAAATCAAACTATGGTCAACTCTTTCAACTTAAGCTTCCAACATTAGGACTATGTGTCCCATTTCACTCTGAAACTCACTCGAAACCAAAACCAACGACCTCGACAAGTCATATAACATGGAGGAGGAAATAAATAGGGGAACGAGTCTAAAATACCCAAAATAACCGACCGGGTCATTACATGTGTAAAATGAGTCATTTTTCCCTCTTTTACCCAGTTGCAAGTGTTGCAATTGCGAACTCTCATTCGCAATTGTGAAAAGCTCAAATGCGAAGCACGGATCGCAAAAGCGACATGCGGATACACCATTCGCATTTGCGAAGATGTCCAAGATTGACAGTGGTCGCAAATGCGACCAAAAAGTTCGCAAAAGCGACCCTAGTCAGTTTGCAAAAGCGAACCTTTTCCTCGCAGATGCGAGGTCACCCATCCCGGGCCCCTGCTCGCAAATGCGAAATCGTGTTTGCAAATACGAGCCAGACCTCGCAATTGCGAGATCTGCATTAGACACTAGAAACATGAGATGCACCAGCAGTCCTCAAACCATCCAAACTCACCCGTAGCACATCTGAAACTCACTCGAGCCCCTCAGGTTCCAAATCAAGCATGCACACAAGTGTAATAACATCTTATAAACTTGCTTGAACTATCAAAATACCAAAATAACATTCGAAACCACGAATCGGACATGAACATACATGATATTCAAAAGGAAACTCAAGAGTCGCTAGAAACACAACCAAGTGTCTGCTTCCTATCAAACCAACTTGGAATTACACACAAATTTGCAGACAAGATTTGTATATCTACACAGACCTATTCCAAGTCCTGAAACTAAAATCCAAACTCGGTAACCATAAAGGCAACCTACGGTCAAACCTAAGGAATTTCTAAACATTCAAATTGCCAACTTTCTGTAAAACTAGTCAAATCAACCTAGGGACCTCCGAATTTAATTCCGAAAATATGCCCAAGTCCAAAATCACAATAGGAACCTACCAAAATAGTCAAACATCAATCCTAGGTCGTTTACCCATAATATTGACCGTGATCAATTCTAATCTCATTTTAGTCATAATTTTTATTTTGTTCAAAAATTCACATAAAAGCTTTTCGAAAAGCGACACAGACCACGCACGTAAATCAAGAAATATCAAATGAAGCTATGGTAGGTCTCGGATCATGAAAATTAAGGCTAGTACTCAAAACGTCCTATCAGATTATCACATGAAGGTTCTTTGGACGACCTAGAGTACAATTTATCGCATAATTCTATTTGTAGTGTTCTTCTTATATTTGAAAACGTTTTTGGTATGCACTTGTGTCCCTCTTAGTTGAATTGCATTTCAAAAATAGTACTTGGTAGAATTAGTGAGTAATTAACTATTTACCTAGTTCAAGGTAATTTCAAATTTTTGTTGTAGTAATGCAGTTTTAATGTTTTTCTCAATTTGGTTATCTAATCACATTTGCACTTATTTCAGTTAGAACATTAAAACTTTTTCAATTAATATTAAAATTTGAGATTTGGTTTATGTTAATGCATTTGGAAAGTTTGATTTTCATTATTTTAATTTATTAAAACATTCCTATTCAAGTTAAATTTTAAATCTGACCTGAGTTAATTCGAAATTCTGGAAGTTGATGAATTTCTAAAGGCATTAAATTATTTTCGTATTTGAGTTAAATTTTAAAGATTCTGGTACTTACTTTGTGTTTCTTGGATTTACATCCGCACTTTCTAATCACAGCTTGGTAAATTTTAGTAAGTATGATAAAATATTTACTTCTTTAACTTAAAAGTTTAGATTTCTTTGATTGCTTTCATTTATAATATTTGGTTAGATATTTATTATGATGAAGTCTTGATGTGTATAAATAGTCACGATAATCTATTTCTCATAAGTGTCATTTCTCAAAGAAAACTACTCATCAATAAGTTTTTATATTATACTCCTTCCTTATAATTTTAGCCATGGAGGGTAAGAAGACTAGAGGACGACAAAGTATTCCAATGAAAAAAATAGAAAGTGAGGACGACCGCTATGCGACATTTTCAAAGCGTCGTTCGGGTATATATAAAAAGGCTAGCGAACTTGTTAAGCTATGCAATATTGATATTGGAATTGTACTCTTTTCCCCTACAGGTAAGCCTTTTTCATTTTTTCATCCTACATCCGAAGCGATTATTGATCGTTTTTTAAATCCTAATACGCAACTAAGTGAAAGCACTCGCCTAGTTGCAGCTCATGCACGAAACAAAGTGAATCAACTCAACAATAGGAGGGAATTGTTTGACAACATAAAAGAAGTTACAAGTGCTCAGTCTCTTTTACTTGACAACATGAAAGAAAATGGCCAAAGATACCGGTGGGAATCAATTGAGCAGTTTAATGCAGATGAAGTAAAAAAATATGAAGCTTGGCTAAGTACAACTGTTTTTAATCTGAATAATCGTTTGAAGCATTTGAAAAATGAGGCTTCATCTTCGTCTTCTTCACAGGCTTATCCAGAAAATACAGATAATTAATGCACCTAATGCGTAAGTTTAAATTCATATTATTAGGATGTGAGATTTCTTATTTTGTACTTTTTAGTTTGTTTTGATGATGCTACAAGCTGTATTCTGCTATGATTTCTATTATTAATATATGATGGTTTTACTTTTTAATACTATATGTTTTCTCCGATTTGAGTTAGGTTTCACTACTTCTGTATTTAAGCATAATTTATAATCTTATAAATATTACAATCAAAATATAATGTGGCTAAGGGTTTTATTCACTTCAATAGGTATTAATGTAGACTTAGATCTATAATTGAAAAAAAAAATATTCTAATGTATTTTTCTCGTGAAAAAATAAGATTTAGATCAGACGAAAAAAAAATGTAGATATGAAAAATAAATTGTCCATTATCTTATACTAGTACTTCAAGCATCCCAATAAGACATTTTAATATGCAATATAATTAAGAGGAACAAAACATATATATGAGTTCATCCAAAAATTTCTTGTGCCTAAAATATCTTTGTTTCTTCTTGATCTTGAAGGATCGTGCATTTTTTCTTCTGAAAATAATTAAGGAAACCTTTGAATAACTATATGTAATAACATTAATCTATAACCTAGAATAAATGACAATATAAAAATACTTTACTTTTTTTCGTCACAACTTGTAGACAAGAAAGCTAGGTGACAGGTAGGCTAAATTGATAGTTTGTAATAATATTTTTTATAATAAAAGAATTCCGAAAGCTACTGGCACACTGTTTAAAGCTCAGTGAATAATGGGTCCTTTCCTTCGAGCTTTTCTACTTAATTATTAGACTTTTATTTACGGCAGAGTTTGAACTCCTAATGTGCGTCTAACACATACATTATGCATCTCATTCTTAAAACTAGATAGAGGATGATGATTCTATACATGAATATGAATCCCTTATAAGCAAATTTTCTAGATTGCAAAATCTGATTTAAACACATCAGTCGAAGCAAGTATGGACATGCTTTCAATATCAAATAGGCACAAACATATAAGGAGGATGTACAACAAATTCCTATGAAAACACATATAACATTTCATTAAGCTCACAGAACCACACAGAGATGAGACATCAACTCCATAGACATGATTTCTAATGCAACATAACCATTCATAATTGCAGAGATATACAAAGGTAAGCTTTCTTAATACCAGATGAGTCTACTGGATTCCAAACTAGCATTCACACAAATTCAACACAAGAGGGTCTTATAGGCATTAGTTTTACCATGAGCTAGAGATGCAAGCTTCAATCGGGAATTCTACATAAATTCAAGACAGAACACAACTACGCATACAAGATTCAATCACATGAGACTCTTTTAGAGCCAATAAGCTGAACTAAAATCAGTAACTTGCAAGGCTTTAAACACACACAGTTATGACATATAGCAGAAGTGCTAACATAAAGGAAAATTACAATGCAGATAGCTTAGCTACTTAGTAAGGGCTTAGACTCTAACAATGAGGCATAGACTAAAGTAGTTATGCAAATCAATATGAATCCTATAGGTAAGTGATACCAGAAGCATTAGCTTGAATTACAATCATGCAAATTCCAAAATATATAGTATGGCTGACATGCAATATACAGAATAGGAGGCTATATAAGCATATTCTTGATTCAAGAACTTAATAGACCAGAATCACATACATACATAAAGGAACTCGTTCAGACAGAAAAGTTTCAAACTCAAACAATTATGTTCACATAAATTCAGCACCACAGTTGATCTAAAACTCCAAAATTGAAGAACTTCTTATGCTCATCTCACTCATAAAGATACAAGTTTCAAACTAGTAGATTCAAGCGAATAAGAGAAGGAATTCTGAAACATGTTCGAGAGTAAGGATTATAATGCACTGTTGAGCTTCACGCATAAACAAAGAGCCCTGTGGGCATGATTCCTATTAAATATGTAACTAACACCAATCTAAGAAATTGACCACGTATTTGAAGTTAAACCATATCGATATTAAAATTGTGTAGTAAAGAATACTAACCAGTATGCGATTTGAACGAGGCAATTAAGAAATAATTCAAAGGTAGTTTTAATGGTGAATTACCAAATATTCGAACACCAGAGATTTCTTGAAATTACGGCATGTCAAAGTTCACGGGGACTTCTATGAGTCTCGAGCATAAAAGGGAGTGAGAGATGATATCCAAAAGCCTTGTGTTTCAGCCAGCTTAAGAACAAGCCAAAACAAAGAACCACCGCGAATTCAGAAAAAATACCAGTAAAGCAATACCCGAACAAAGAGTATTAAAATGGAACGAGTGACTGTATGAAAGAGAGAGATGTGATTAACGTCTACCCTGAAGGGAAAGGGGGAAGGGGTTTATATAGTTTCTATATCAAACAAAAACATAAGGAAAGAAATCAATCGCATGCAAACCGAATTAGAATCGGATTAGGGCAAACTCGTACATAAACCCTAATCGAGAGAGAATCACCAGAGATTTGTCAAGATCTAGAAAATAGCCCCTCTTCTTCAATGTATAAATCCAGGATCTTGTAGAAATTCCTAAAATTGGAGCCATATTGGCTTGATTAAAGAGAATTGGACTTCCCATAAATGAAACAATATCAATTATTACCATAAATGAACAAGCTATTGTGATGACCCGATAGGTCATTTTGAGTTTAAGCCTTGATTGCTGTATTCTGAGACCTCGGCTAGCATCGTTTAGTATTCCTTGATATGCATGCGTAGTCCGTGTCTTGTTCCGGAAAGTTTTTATGTGAAAAATTTAAGAAAATGTGAACGTTTGCCTTAAAACTAATTTGAGTTGACTACGATCAATATTTTGTGTAAACGGACCCGGATTAATATTTTGACGGTCTCCGAAGGTCTGTATTCTGATTTGGTACTTCGACGTATGCCCGAAATCGAATTCGAAAGTCCCTAACTTGATTTAATGTAATTTGTTGAAAACTAGTAATTTGAAGGTTTAAAGAATTTTTAAGTTTGACCGAAAATTGATTTTGTTGCTACCGAGTTTGGATTTCAGTTCCGGAACTTGGAATAGGTTCATTTTATCATTTATGACGTGTCTACAAAATTTAGTGCAAAACGGAGTTGATTTGATGTGATTCGGACTTCCGGTTGTAAATTTGCATGTTCTTGAGTTTCTTTGAAGACAAGGTGGGTTGCTCTGATGGTAAGCACCCTCCACTTCCAACCAAGAGGTTGTGAGTTCGATTCAACCCAAGAGCAAGGTGGGGAGTTCTTGGAGGGAAGGATGCCGAGGGTCATTTGAAAACAGCCTCTCAACCCCAAGGTAGGGGTAAGGTCTGCGTACACACTACCCTCCCCAGACCCCACTAGTGGGATTATACTAGGTTGTTGTTGTTATTGTTGTTGTTGTTGTTGTTGAGTTTCTTTGAAAATTTCATACATTTTGATATCCGATTCGTACTTTTATGTGTTATTTTGGTATTTTGATCCCGCGAATGAGTTTGTATGATTTTTTTTAGACTTGTCTGGATGTTTGATTTGGAGCCCTGAGCGCTCGGGTGAGTTTCGGACGCATTTCAGATAGTTCATAGGAGTTCAGATTTTTGCAAGTGCTCAAATCTCGCATTTGCAAGAGCCGTATTTGTGGGCTTCATGATCTCATTTGCGAAGAGCAAAGTGGCCTAAAGAGTTCGCATTTGCGATAATGGCCTGGCCTGGGTATTGGTCGTATTTGTGATTAGTTGGATCGCTTTTGCGGATTGTCCATGTTCGTATTTGCGAACAAATCATCGTATTTGCGATGACAAGAGAGGTGTGAGATTCCTCACATTTGCGATGTATTCTTCGTATTTGCGGGGTTCGCATTTGCGAACCCCAGGTCGCATTTGCGATATCTGCCACTGGACAAATAGCTTAGAGATATGATTTTTAGTCTCATTTTTATATTTTGGAACCCTAGGCTCGGTAGAAGATAATTTTGAAGAGGGAATTTCATCTACAAACTTTGGGTCAGTAATTCTAATCCATTTCTAATCATATTCTATCAAGTTCTCTTAGATTTTAACTTCAAAATCATGAAAATTAAAGTGAAAATTTGTAAATCTTTGTCAAGTTTTGAAAAAATAAGAAATTGAGTTTTGAGAGTCGATTTAGACTCGAATTTTGAAACTAATCACATATATGAACTCGTGGGATCATGGGTAGTCGAAATCTATAATTGGACCAGGGTTTTGATCGGGCGGGCCCCGGGTTGACTTTTTGGGAAAAGATTAAAAAACTTAGCTTTATCTATTATAGTTGATTTTTCTAGCATTGTTTGATGATGTTATGTCGATTTTGATTAGATTTGATTGGTTTGGAGGCGAATTTTAGAAGAAAGGCCCCGGTTGAGCTTTGATTTGATTGCGGAGCGAGGTAAGAGTTGGGTCTAACCTTGATATGCAGGAATTAGGAACCCTTGAACTATATGTTATGTGAATTATGCGTGTAACGGCATATATGCGAGGTGACGAGTGCATATACGCCGTCAAAATGATTGTTTTCATGTCTTCCCTAGTATTTCATTAATTATCTTATTCCATGCCTTAACTGTTACATACTTTAGTTGATTTTTATGCCGTAATTGATTACTTGTCATTAACTATTCTTGTATTGAACTGTTTGTCCCTTCCATGACTCCGTGATTAATTGCTACTTGTCATTATCTATTCTTGTATTGAACTGTTTGTCCCTTCCATGACTCCGTGATTAATTGCTACTTGTCATTATCTATTCTTGTATTGAACTGTTTGTCCCTTCCATGACTCCGTGATTAATTGCTACTTGTCTTAATTGTCTTATTTGCATACCTTAATTGTCACGTAATTGATTATCTTGTTGCTTTTACATTATATGTAGCATTCTGTTGATTAGCACGTAGTTCCTTTATTGCTTTACTTTCAAATTCTTTAATTATAGAGATGTTTGTAAATTGAGTTATTGTTTGTGATATGGTGGAATGAGGGAGGATTTTGACCTTGATTA